CGACAAATCCAAAGCGGAGATCGCTTTGCAAGCGCGTTTACATGACAAAAGGGAAGTGGTCTTCAAAGAGTAAGAAGAATTTTGGTGGAAAAGATCCACAAAATTAGAAGGGTGAAGGAAGCTCCAAAGAGGGTAATCAAAGCGCCTACAAACCGTTTGACAAAAATTCTGTGAAGTGTTATAATTGCCAAAAGCTTGGGCATTTTGCGAAAGAATGTCGCTCGAAACACAAAGAAAAAGATGCAGATGAGACTAAGGTTGCTAGGGAAGAGGTAGATGATGAAGATACCCTTCTTGTGATGATTACGGAGGAGAATTATGACATTGTTGATGCTCCGGACAGCAACTACTGTGGTGATAGTTTGCAGGACAACAGCTGTACTGTTTTGGAAAGTGGTGGGAAAATGCGCTCGGATCGAAATGCATTACTTACCATGCGTGATGGAGTTCAAAGTAAAGATGAATGGTACTTGGATTCCGGTTGTTCAACACATATGACGGGTCAGAAGGATTAGTTTGTGGAAATCAATCAAGCGACAAAGAGTAAAGTCAAGTTTGCCGACGACACCACTTTAAGCGCCGAAGGGGTAGGAGATGTTTTGATCGAAAGGAAGAATGGTGGACATTCAAGGATCAAAGATGTCTTGTACATATCGGGAATTAAGTGCAATCTTTTGAGCATTGGCCAATTACTTGAAAGAGGGTACTTAATTCGGTTGGAGAACAAGATGTTACGCGTTTTAGATTCAAGTGGTGTGTTGATTCTAAAAGCGCTGATGGCTGCCAATAGAACTTTTAAGGTTGAGTTAAAGGTTATGGAGCATCGTTGTTTAGCTACCGCGGCAAGTAGAGATGAGTGGTTATGGCATTACCGTCTTGGTCACCTAAATTTTAGGGATCTCAAAATGTTGCAACAAAGTGAAATGGTAATGGGGCTGCCACATATTATTGTTCCGACAGAATTGTGTGAGGAATGTGTGAAGAGTAAGCAACACAAGAATGTGTTTAGCAAAGATGCAGGTCGAAGAACCAAAGGCTTACTTGAGGTGGTGTATTCCGATGTTTGTGGACCGATGCAAATAGAGACTTATGGCGGCAATCAATATTTTGTTACGTTTATTGACGACTTTAGTAGAAAGCTTTGGACATATCTTATCAAGAGGAAGGATGAGGTATTTGGAGTGTTCAAGAGTTTCAAATCCATGGTGGAACGTCAAAGCCGTCGAAAGCTCAAAATTCTCAAAACGGATGGTGGAGGTGAATATACCTCTAGTGAGTTTGGGAAGTTTTGTGATCTTGAGGGTAGTGTGCGTGAGGTGGTGCCTCCATATACGCCTCAACAAAACGGAGATGCCGAGAGGAAAAATCGTACAATAATGAACATGGTGTGTAGTATGCTTTGTGGGAAGAAGTTGCCTAAGGAATTGTGGGGTGAGGCCGTGTCTACAGCTACCTACTTGTTGAATAGGTGTCCTACTAAGAAGTTGAAGAAGATCACACCAGAAGAGGTTTGGAGTGATTTCAAACCGAGTGTGAATCATTTGCGCGTTTTTGGATCGATTGTATATCGTCATGTACCGAATCAACTTAGAAAGAAGTTGAATGATAAAGGTGAGAAGTTGATATTTGTTGGATATCACTCTACTGGAGGTTACAAGCTATTTGATGAGAAGAATCGAAAAATCGTGATAACCCGAGATGTATATTTTGAAAAAATAAAAGCTGTTGAAACAGCAGGACAACAGCAACAGTTCTTCGAATTGTCTGATCCGGAGGGTTTCGATGCCGCTGTACCTGCACCTACAGTAGCGAAAAATGTAGTGAATAATGGTAGACCAGTGAGGCAAAGAGCCTTGCCTCATAAACTCCGAGACTACGAGAGGTTCCAAGATAACGAAGTGAATAATGATGGTGATTTTGTTCATTTCGCGCTTATGGCCGAATCTGAACCGGTAAATGAGGATGAAGCCTTAAGCAATCCTAAATGGATATGTGCAATGAAAGAGGAGCTGAAATCTATTGAGAAAAATGGTACTTAGGAGTTGGTCGATTTACCACTCGGAAAGAAACCGATAGGTGTGCGATGGGTCTATAAAGTTAAAGTAAATCCTAAAGGTGAAGTAATCAAGCACAAAGCTCGATTAGTGGCGAAAGGGTTCTTGCAACATGAAGGTATAGACTACGAGGAGGTATTCGCACCGGTGGCTAGATTGAAGACTATTCGTTTGGTTGTTGGGATTGCGTATAGCAACAATTGGGTGATTTACCAAATGGATGTAAAATATGCGTTTTTGAATGGTCCTCTTGATGAGGAAGTTTATGTGGGGCAGCCACCCGGTTTCGTGATTAAAAATCAAGAGAGGAGGTATTACAAGCTACACAAGGCGTTGTATGGTTTGAAACAAGCTCCAAGAGCTTGGAACAAACGTATAGACGGCTTTCTTGTTGACATCAGTTTCAAACGATGTGTATCCGAACATGGTGTTTATGTGAGATCGGATAATATTGATGGTGTTATTATACTATGCTTGTATGTTGATGATCTCTTGATTACGGGCAGCAATGACAAGAGTATTTCAAGGTTCAAAGGGGAGCTCATGAGTGAGTTTGAGATGACGGACCTTGGTGTCATGAGATATTTTCTTGGCATAGAGTTCCACAAGTCAAAAGTGGGGCTGCTTATGCATCAAAGAAGGTATGCTCTAGATATCTTGAAAATGTGTGAAATGGAGCATTGTAATGCTTCTAATACACCTTGTGAGGCTAGAGTTCAACTGTCCAAAAGTGATGATGAGGATAATGTGGATCCAACACTTTACCGGAGTTTGATTGGATCGTTACAGTATTTGTGCAATACTCGACCAGACTTGGTTTTTAGTGTCGGTATTGCGAGTAGATTCACGGAGAGACCTAAGGTGTCTCATCTGGCGGCGATCAAGAGAATCCTTAGATATGTGAAAGGTACTCTTGGTTGTGGTATTTTGTTTCCCACATCGGATATGGGTCGCAAATGTACTTTACTTGGCTACACCAATTCTAATTGGTGCGGAGATAAAGATGATCGGAAATCTACGACGGGTTACATCTTTATGTTCGGTAGTACACCAATCTCATGGTGTTCGAAGAAGGAACCGGTTGTAGCACTCTCTTCTTGTGAGGCCGAATACATTGCGGCATCATTGAGTGCTTGCCAAACTATGTAGTTAGTGAATCTCATGAAGGAATTGGGATGTGGTGATGATGATGCCACCACACTGTTTGTGGATAATGTTTCCGCGATAAATCTTGCGAAGAATCCGATTGCACACGGAAGGAGCAAGCATATTGAGATGCAGTTTCATTACTTGAGAGAATTGGTCGGTGATGGAAAGCTTAGATTGAGCTATTACCGAAGCGAGGACCAAGTTGCGGATTTGTTGACAAAGGGTGTGACAAATGAGGTGTTCAAGAGACTGTTGAAGAGCTTGAGCATGATGAATTTGGAGCAAATAAAGTGAGGTGGTGTGTTGAAAGCTGTCAAATTCTGTTTCGGAAATTTAACAGCTTTGGCCACTTTAGATGGTTTTGTTTGTTTTTTATTACTCTCTCATGTGTATATATACATTGTAGTAATCCCAATTTATAGTTAATGCCAATTTAGTGATTCATCCAATATTACTCTCTTCCCTATTCTCTCTTTCTCTCAATTCATCTTCTTTCTAAGTTTCTTTTCACCATTGATACTACCTTCAAAATTCTAGATTTATGTTTTATGTTGTTCTAACAAAAACAAGTCACTGAATCCTCAATCCCCTTAAACATTAACATGAATCTGTTCTTGGTTACTGATAATAGACCAAACATAAAAAATAGATAAACCTATTGTTACACTTTTCATATAGAAAAACATTAATCAACTATTACAACAATGGATCCTTTTAGTTGAAGATTTTACTGAACATTAACATGGGATATATACTACTAATCACTATAAGTTTGATCAACAGAGTCTTCCCAGTAATAGATCAGATGCACTGCTCTGCTCAATATTCATTCAATAAGTCAGAGGATGAAAAATCACTTTTCTGTCACCTGCAGCATGTCACACACCAAATATATGAATAATAGGGGCATGATTTTGAACGCGTGATCGTACGTGACAAAATGTTGAACAGTTAAGAAGCAACCCGAGATAAGGGCGGCGTTGGATGTGTGGTAAGATAGATTAGATAAAATTACAAATGATAATATAAGAGTGTTGGGATATCACCTATGGTAAAAAAGATGATGGAAAATAGACTTTGTTTGTTTGAACATGTAGAGAGAAGACATGTAAATTTTGCAGTAAAGAGAATAGATCAAACGGAGAGAAATCAAACAGCTAGAGGTACAATAAGAACCAGAAAAACTATAAGAAATAATTAAAAAAAGATCTCGAGATTAACGATTTGGATGAAAACATGATCCTAGATAGAACATTATAGCAGAAATTGATCCATATAGCCGATCCCGTTTAGTAGAATAAGAGTTGGTTGTTATTGTTGTACTATGCAGTCTCTAGCCGGAATCAAACTTTTACCCTGATTACTAATTGGAGGAAATAAATAGTTGTTACTATTTCAGTTCATCATGAAAACTTCATAAGCAAATAATTGTGTTCTAGCCTGATGTTTTCTACTCCTAACTAATCCGTTTTAATTACTCAAATAATGCTTGAAGTTTAGGTAGGAATCATATAAATATTTTTAGAAACAAGGGGAATCAAAATATATATCAGAAACACATGCCCAAACATATTTCTAGGAATAACTTGTTTTGCATTGAAAAAATAGTTTGGAATGGTTAAAAAGAATATAATTAAGACCTTGCTCACATTGGCAACAAAATATATCATTAGTGACTTCAATACCTGAGAATGAGAAGCAGAAAACACTTGCAAAACATTCAATTGTATGATGAGAGAAAGAGAACACTCTTATTATCATGTTACCTGAAGATATCTGGAGTTGATTGTATTGATTTTACATCATCGAGGAAGACTGAAGCTCAACCTTCACCCTCTCTGGTCCGGACGATGCTCGGAAAGGAGAACCATTTACAGTAAACGAAACTAGTTTTGGCGTAAATATCACATATTTGCAAGTTGGTCCCCGTTTCATAGTTTTAAGAGTTAAAGTATCCTTAATGGTCAAATTAGAAAGTGTAGCATTGGTTACATTGATGATTCCTTCTCCATCTCGGGAGAGCGAGCCGGGATAAACTAAGAAACACTCGTCAATGTTCAAATCAGTTAACTTAGTACAGGTTGAGAAGGGTTCCGCATGACCATTATCATCAGCTTGAATCCCAACAAGTTCAAGACGCAAACTTCTTAAACCCGGAAGATCAAGATTCTTCGGCAATCTGGTTCTTTTCTTGATATCATACCTTGAAACGGAGATATACATAGATGTCAAAGAATGACAAGAAAAGATAGAATACGGCAACCCAATATTGCTCGGGACAGCTATGTTCAGTTGCTGAAGACCATTAGACATAGCATGGTTTATGAGACGAGTGAAAATCTCATGCCGAAAAGCTCCATGGCGATTGAACTCAAGAGTACGTAAAGGATAATTGCCCATACCACGAGATGACACAATCTCAAACACACATTCGGAGAAAAAACACGGCTTGCTAAATTCAGAGGTATCCAATTTAAGATCTCGAAGGTATTTCCAGAGATTCCTCCACCGTGTTGACAAAACACTAGTCTTAACAACATCTTTTATCTTAAGATATGACATTATATGAAGCAGAATTTCGTTGGGCAAGTCATTGAGGCTGCACATCTTCCTCTTCAGCCTATCACACACCGCCTCATCGGCATCAACCTCTCCGATTTTCTTCTACAAAGATCAAAAGCAATAGATTCAGTCAATATCTAATGCAACATATTTATAGCTTCTTCAAATATATTTGTGTTAATCAATTGACATAAGAACTTGTAAGAAAAAGCTTATGAAAACAGCTAATGAAAACCTAGTACATGAAAAATCATCTAATTACACATACAATTTCAATTTAGGGATTAGTTTCAAAACTGAGCGGAAATGTCGGATTTGAAATATAGATGTGAAATCCCAATTTATAATCTAAAAAGATGAAACAGCTAGGTATTGAAGAAGGTGAAAATACCTAATGAGTTGAAGAGAATTGTGAATCGATGATTTCGAAGCTGTGTGGTTCTTTGAAGGAGCCTTGTGAGTGAGCAGTGGCGTTGATGAGTGGCGGCGATGGGCGGCGGGGATGAGAATGGCGGTAAGGTATGTGCTCAAACCACTCTAAATGGGGTTGAATCAAATAATCTGATTTTTAGAATTTTTTTAAATAAACTATGAAAAAAAAATCTAGACTAAAAGGTTAGAGTGATGATATTTCTATTTTTTTACTACTATTTAAATTTTAATTTCTAAAACCTATTTTTTCTTTTTTATAAATAATTATAAAACAACATCTTTTTTATTTTTAAGAAATAAAAAAAGAGTAAACATTAATCCCTTAAATTTGTGTTTAATGTGGGGAGAAAATGTCTATAAAGAAGGTGTTTCTTAAGGATATCATTAAAAATAGAAGGAGTTTGTGAGAGTTTGAAACAATTGTTATGACCAGAGAGTTTGATATGAAATTTTGAATTACTTGAACTGACAAGTGACAACTTCAAAGAGCATTTGATTTAAATTAAAGCTCCACCAGAGTTGGAATTGAAGAAATTACATTATCACATGAATCATGTTTATTTGAAGGAGAATGACACCTTACCATTCATTATATCCTCTCAGTTAAACCCAACTCAAGAGGAATCACTCATGTATGTTTTGATGATACAAAAGAAAGAAATAGTCTTCCAAATGTCTAATATCAAGGGTATTATTCCCATGAACTGCATATAATCTTGATGGAGGAGAATTTAAACAAAATCATTGAATCTCAAAGAAGACTGAATTTCATCATGAAATAAACGGTGAAGAAGGACATTATCAAGTGGATTAATGCATTATTTACCCCCATATTATTTAATGTTTGGAATAGTCATACACAGTACGTACCCGAGCACAATCTTTATGAGCAGTCCAGACTTGAAAAAAATTAAAAGGGCCGGAAGAAAAATCACCAAGCTTTTGAGTCACCAACAAAGAAGAATGATTTAAGCATTGCTTAAGTAAGGTGCAACAATTAAGCACTCTCCAATGCATCAACCATACATGGCTGCATATACTAAGATTTAGTTGTAACAGAACGATTCTGCTCCAATGCTGCCATTCGACTAAGTGAATTAAACTTCAATCTTATTAAGGTGAAGCATCTTATTTGCATTTGTCTATAATAGGAAATCATCACAGGATATTGTCACCGGCAGTCACTTACCTTGTTTCTCATGTGCACCAAACTTAACATTGAATTCATCAACAAACAACCAGGGAACAATGTGAGTCTGCTGCAAATTAGAGAAATAGTTTTTATTAATTTTTTTAAACTTTGTTAGAATTGTTATTAATTTGTTAGAGTTATCCTATTTTAAAGCAGATATATCACCAATATATATATATATATATATATATATATATATATATATATATATATATATATATATATATATATATATATATATATATATATATATATATATATATATATATATATATATATATATATATATATATATATATATATATGTATAAAAGAATATAACATATTTTTCAAGTTAACTTTCTATTATGACATTTGAGCATGATCTCAATTCAGATGAGATATTAGAGAAGTAAAATACTTGTAAATCTGAAACAAATGACACAAAAAACAATACACAAGTTTATCATCTAAACAACTTTGATAATCATCGAAATCCACTCGTGCGCTACTACAAAAAACTCATTTAACAACGGTTTAGAAAAATATATAATCACGGGGGCTCAAACGTTGTTATTGTTAGACTATGGCACGGATTTAGAAAGGGGGTTGAATAGATCCCCAATTAAAATTTGAGTCGGCGCTACCAATTAAAAATTGGTTTTGAAAAATTGTTTTAAGTGCGGAAGCGGCCGAGGAAAATATAGTCTAAAACGAACGGTTATTGGAAAACTGGATATGCGTAAGCCTTTGAATTAATGACAATATGGAAAATAGAATCACAACACTAATCACACTTATCAATGATCTACTTCAGTTGTTAGGATTCCTAGTTCCAATGATTCAAAGAGCAAACCAAAACTAGATACACAAGTAAGATAATTTTGGTTCAAGCAATTTGTCAAACACTTGGTGTGCAAAACACTCCAAGTGATATTTATGTTGAGTAAATGATTCCAACTAGCCTAGTACAATGTCTTATTGTACTTTGGAGTCAAAAACAGAGTTTTAACCTCTTACTCAATTGATATCACAGTTTTGACAATAGTGCTTATACAAAAATTACTTATTTTGAGCTATAACGTAAATGCTGAAAAATAGAGAAGACAAGTATTTGGTGAGGCAGTTCCCCCGTTGTCCTCGCTTCGGGGTACGTCTGCCCTCAATTCTAAAACTAGAATTGAGATAGATTTTATAGATATCACCTGTTGAATGTAACAGTTTATACAAGGATTGAGCAGCAAATATACAACAGAAATCTCAATGTGTTGAAAGCTGCTTTCACTCCTTGCCCCTTGATTCAAGATGAATAAAGTCCTCCGATTGTTGTTGATGGACCTCCGATTCCAGCCACCTTATTGAATAACACGTTGTTGTTCAAACCTTCGGCTCCGGCTGATCTCAACAGCAACAAATCGAACCCGAGATCTTCCCTTCAATATCACTGAATCCGCTACTAGACTTGTGAAGAACACCTCTTCACAATCACCTTCGCTCAGTTGACCCTTGATGAAGAATCTCGTCCAAAACCCCCAAAATTCTAACCAATCTTGGAGGGTAAAACCCCAACGGTTTTATTCAAGAAAGAACCTGTCACAAGCTTCAACCCGAACTTGATTCTCCAATCTAAGCTTCGAACCTTATCACCTTGAATCACTCACAAATGCACTTCAAAAATGGTTGTGTGTAATTGAAATGTTGTGAGATGTTGAAGATGAAGATGATGAATCTTGGACACCTATTTCACTCTTTCTTGTTTTTGAACACATGAATCAAATATTATCAAATGTTAATGTGACACAAGTGGTTAAACAAGTATATATAGTACCAACCCAATTATAGACATAACAGTATTTCAAATATAAGAGGGAATCATTTAAAAACATGATTTCCGCGCGAACGGTCGACTGCAGCAGGTCTGTGCGTCGACGCATGGCCTGTGTTTTTGGAAATCTGGAAAATGCATCAGTATGCGTCGACCATATAGTCGGCGTGCGCTGACCCGTTGAAAACTATTTCCTTCATGCGCCGACCCTATGATCGACTCATGCCTTTATGCGCTGACCCGTTGGAAAATTTTTCCTTCATGCGCCGACCCTATGGTCGACTCATTGCCTTTGTGCGCTGACCAGTGGAAAAGTGCTCTGATGCATGCGCCGACCCTATGGTCGACTCATGCCCTGCAAACCTGCAAAAATTCATCAGTTTGTGGTCTTTCATGCCTCTGGTCATGATTGCATTTTATCTACACATAGTATATTTATTTCAACAGTTTTAAGACAAGTATAAAAGGATATGGTAGGTGATACGTTGCATCTGTTTAGTAGATCTGGAGTTTATAGTTTCCAATCTATCCAAGGCTGTAATTTGTCATCATCGAAACCTGTATTGACCAATGTCTTGCAGACTTGTGTGATGTGTGGCGATTTGCCTCCACAGTTATCTAGAGTGTGGTTGTATATGGGTTATTTACAATCACGGTCCAGTACTTGTGATAGAAAACTGGAAAACGCGCTACCTATAATCATGATAATTTTAAATACCCGTTGTTGTATGTCTTTTAATAAAATTAAAAAAAATGCAACATTAGAACTACTTATAACCACGATTATTTTAAATACCTGTTGTTGTATGTCTTTTAATAAAATTAAAAAATAATTGCAGCATTAGAACAAGAACAACAACAAGAACAACAACAAGAACAACAATAAGAATAACAACAAAAACAACAAAAATAAAGAGCATCATCCTTTCTGAACGTATCAACACCGAATTCAAACAATGAGTGGTATGATTCCCTAAACTGACAGCATCAAAGGACAACACCGATCGAAGCAAGTATTTCCGTTTTCATCGCAGTCATGACCACATGACCGAAGATTTTGTCCATCTGAAGGACGTCATCGAGATCCTCATCAAGGAGGGTCACTTGAAGCAGTATACGAAGAAGGGAGAAGCCCCCAACGAGAGACGTTTGAGTCCAAGAAGACGGAAACAAGAGTTTTTCCTTTTAGTCCTCCCCCGTAGGTTGCCACGTCTGTTTCTCGGCCAGAGGACTTTTTCGTCTCCGACTATCTTGAGGATCCTACGTATTTCTCCATGCACAACTTCTGGGAGGCCTTCCTCAGCGTGATGGTCATCTCCTGTGCCGGGTATAGCAAGCTCATGGTAGGATCAGTCAAGAGGAAATTCGATCAGCTGATCGACTACAGCCCAGACTGACTATCCACACTCGAGAAGTTCTGAGGACGCTCTCAGCCCATCACCTTTTATCGTGAAGAGATCCCTGGAGGCTCCTCTAACATGCACATTCCTCTACTCATAAGAGCCAGGTTAACCAACACAAATGTCCGCCAAATTCTTGTCGACCAGGGTAGTTCGGTAGACATCATGTACACCAGCTTGTTTTGCGCCCTTAAGCTCGATCAGAAGAACTTGTCCC